GCAGATACAGACACTCACTCTTCTGGTTACATAGGATTTCTTTTCTATTTTGGTTTTGGATTTTAATTCTATAAATTTATTTAAAGATTTGGGATAAGGGTCCACTAGGTGGATTCCCGAGTTGTACGGAATTAAATTATATTAGTTTATTATTTAAGGTTTGAGGATTTTCATTTTAGTGGTCTTTCTGCGCATTATTATTTTAATCTTAATTTAGTTTTTATTCCTGCTTGTTTACATATTGATTGTTTGGTATCCCTCGGATCTGTGCTCGGACTTGATCACCTATGGCTCTAAAAATGAGGGGTATCACAATACCTCATCATTGTCTGCCATAAGACAGAGATTTGCACTTTCTATTTCATCATCGTTTTCAAATATATCGGATTCTTCATCATCCCAAGTAGCCTACATAGCTGCCTTCCTTTTCTTACTTTCTTGAAGGATTTTGTACTTGGCACGGTGTAACTTGTAATGACCGGGCTTTCCACAGTGAAAGCAGGTTGGGTTTTCCCTTCTGTTTTGTCCATTTGAGAATTCACCTTTCCTGATTGGATTATGTCATTGAAGTTTTCGTGTTTGAAGGATTCTTTTGAATGTTTAAGTGGTGAGGGCAATATCCTCTTCTTCCTTTTCAGTTGCTTCATCTGTGTCGTCACTGCTTACAAAGCTAAATTCTTTTTTTGAGTGTGTTCACCTTATCTGTTTTTCAAGGTTATTTCCCAGGTGAGTAAAGTTCCTAGAAGTTCACCTATCCCAAGAGTGTTAAGATTATGTGCTTCTTTGATTGCGATTGCCTTGGCATCCCATTTTGTGGGTGGACTTCGGAGAATTTTCCTTGCAATATCAGAGTTAGAGATATTTCTGCCAAGATGCTTCAGATTGTTAATAATGTCAGTGAATCGAATAAATATATCATTAATAGATTCATTTTCTTTCATAAGAAATAATTCGTAATGATGCATCATTAAGTCAATCTTAGATTCACGGACTTTAGAGATACCTTTATAGGTGACCTCTAGTTTATCCCAAATTTCTTTGGCAATGTTGCATGTAGAGACTCTGCTGTATTAAGTTGGACTGAGTGCATAATTTAGATTTACCTTTGCCCTAGCATTAATAGAGATAAGTTTGTAATCAGCCTCATTCCATTCACTCATTTCTTTAGGCTTGTTTACTTTGTCAACTTCTTTCATGGGTACATATGGTCCATTTATTATGACATGCCAGATTTGATAATCTACAGCCTAAAAAAATTCTTTTATTCTATTCTTCCAATAATTATAGTTAGTTCCATCAAACTAAGGAGGTTTGTGGTTGGACTAACCTTCCTGAAATGTGGTACTGTTAATATTACGCATGATCGATTCTCTAAGATGATTAAATCTTTAGACTAGAGATTAGGCTTTGATGCCAATTGTTACCCAGTAAATGACTCTAGAAGGGGGGGGGGGGGGGAGTAAATAGATTCTAAGTAGAACAATACCAAATAATCTGATTCAAATATATAAAAGATAGATAATAAAAAATTAATTAAAAGTGTATCAATAGATAAGTAACATAGGTAATAATATTTGAATAACAAGGTAAAAAGGATAAAGAGAGAAAGCAAACTCAGAACACCAAGATTTAGCGAGGTTCAGAAACTCCTACTCCTCGGCTCAAGATCCATCTTGAGACTTCCCGAAAACCCAATAATGATTCTCTTTAAAGGTAAAGAGCAAACCAGTACAAGAAGTACACCGCTTCTAAATCTTCTTGCTAAGAGAAAAATCCTCTCTTAGACTTCTGCTGGGTTGCATTAACCCTTACAAAGATGTTTGAGCAATAGTAAAAGAAAACTCTCAAAATTAATGCGTAGATCAAGGTTCACAAACCTATAACAAATATAGAAGATAACACAAAGGTTAAAGCTCAAATGATATGGATGAAACACTGATCTATGTAAGTTCCTTTTTTATCACAAGGTTTTTCTCTCTCGATGTTTTTGCACACAATACAATGGAAACCTCGAAGATATTATATAGAGGTTTAAAAAACATTGGATTAGTTTTTAAAGCTTTCCAAAAATACTATTACAGCAAAAATGAGCCTGAATTTTAGCCCATCTAATCGAATATATGGTTCATCGGTGCGGTCACTTGGGGTCGATCGAACATATGTTTCATCTGTTTAGACAGTTGGAGTATCTGATCGGTAATATTGATGATGTGATTAGTTGGATGAGATCCTATTTCCATGCACTTTTAAGATTTAAACCCATCTGACTGGTTATATGAATGATCTGATCGGTCATATGAAAACTTTCAGTTTTTCCAGACATATTGTTTTCTTCATCTTTTCGTTAATATGAAGTGATCTATTCAATAACTTGAAATCATCTGATCAGTTATATGAACAAAGTGATCGATTATCTGATGATTTTAGAAAACTTCACAACTCACTATCTTATGTATCTTATTGCTAGTATGAGACTATCTGTTCGGTCATATGGATCAATCTGATCGATCACATATCTGAAGTGTTCGATCACTTCAGTTATAATTTTTTCATTTTAATAATGTTATTTGATCGGTCACATTGAGTATCTGTTCGGTCAGTTCAAGTGATAATAGTTATAGTTTGTATGATGTGAATGAGATACAATTGAGCTTTTGAACCAAAGTGATATAATTTATTTTTCCTTACATTTAATCTACTCTCACCATTTCTAAGCTACCCCTATTGATGGAAGTTAGGCTTTCCATTTATCATCCATTCCTTAATGAGTCCATGCCATGTTCTTTATTTGTGGTCCTTCTTAACTTCATCTCAAATGGAGATATGTTAAAAGCACTTTTTATCTTTGTGTTTTATCATTAGAATAATAAGAGGCGATTTAAGGGCAGTTGTGCCAACAATTGCTTTGTTGGCTTTTGTTGGATCTTATTTATTCACGCCCTTTCGCTACCCCTAACAAATAAGTATCAGAGCCAAATGTGAAAGAGATCTAGATAACATAAGAAGTCTCAACATGTGCTACAATGGGCTTCAGTTGTAGGTGAAGTCAGTCGGCTTGGTTACATAGCATGGAGCTCAAGTTGTCAAGGTGGAGCCTTAGAGGTTAGACTAATCCAGCGTACAGTGTGGACAATTGGCATTTTGCAGAAGTATCATCAAGATTGAAGCTGCAATAGAATTGTCTTCATCAATGCTGTGGAAGCGATGACTGGTTGGATGGAATTTGAGTCTGGGTGGAGATTGTTGGAATTTGTGTCTCAAATCCCTATTTTAATTATGTTTGTATTCTTAGAGTTGTATTCTGTTTGGTAATTTCTTATTTGGCAAGTCTTGGCCTCTAAGAAATTGTAATATTGTCCAACAAGGAATTGGGCTTGGAACTCTATAAATAGATACATAGGCTTTGGGTTGAGACTTAAGAGATTAAGAGAGACGTAGTCTCATGAGGGAGTTGATGGGTATAGGTAGTAAATGGGTTGGTAGAGTAAAAAAAACATCGGTAACACTGGTAGCGAGGAAATAGGCTCGTGGAGTGGTGGTTTTGGTACTCTATTATTGTAATATCTATACGAATCATAGTGAAATCTCTTCCCATCCATGGATGTAGGCCGATTTTGGCTAAATCATGTATATCATGTGTTTGTGTGTGATTGCTTTGTTAGTTTTTATTGGATCTTATTTATTCGTGCACTTCTGCTTCCCCAAGAAATTAGTATCAGAGCCAAAGGTGAAAGAGATCCAGAAAACATAATAAGTCTCAAGAAGTGCTATAACAGGCTTCAGTTGTAGGTGGAGTCAATCAACTTGGTTACATGGCATAGAGCTCAAGTTGTCAAGGTAGAGCCTTAGAGGTTATACTAATCGAGTGTATAGTGTGGACAATCGGAGTTTTGTAGAAGGATCGCCAATGTGACAGCCCTGGTTTTTCAACCTGGTGCGTCAGTGATGACCCGAAAGGTGATCCAATAACGGATCCCGAATGCAGAAGCGAATTAAAGAAACAAAGTCTCTAGGGATGCACGTCATCCCTAAGACACAAAATTGGCTTCTTATGAAGCCGTGGAATTCAAAAGAAAACAAAGACGGAAATGAAGTTTTGAAAATGGTTAAGTTTAACCCTAGGGACATAATGGTCATTTCACATAACAATGGGTGCTACCGTGCACACCATTGGAAAGAAAATGAAAAATCAATAAAGTTATACTCAAGAATCGCCTAATTCAGAGTCCGGATGAAAGAGATATGCAACCCCAAAGTTTTAAAATTAAAACGGAAAATGGCATGCTCCCAGGTCTGTTTTGGAAATGCTGCAATTTGAAGGCTTAAATGGATTTTTTTGGAAAGTAGTTATAAAGTAACCCCCCCTAAAATCATATTTTCTGATCAACCATGGTCCAAAACAAAAGTAATATACAACCTGGAATGCCCAAAATGCCCCCAAGATAAATCAGGTTAAGAGAATTTAAAACAAGCCGAGTTGCTGCCAGAGAAGTAGACATGGGGCTTCTGGAGGTTTTTAAAACACCTAAATTGAATATGCAGTGTTAAAATGCACCCACAAAACCCTCATAAGTTCCAAAACTGTTGACACAGTTTTCAATAAAAAGTCGATGAATAGTACCATGTTTTAAATTTTTTTAAAAAGGCTTAAACTGTAAAATTTGAGTTGACGGGGGATTTCCAAGACCAAAACGATATTTTTTAAAAAAATGTTGTGAAGAAACCTCCCTCAAAATCACATTTTTCGAAGTGACCATGTCAAGGCCGAAACTTATTTCTCAAGTGAAAGACCCAAAATGACCTTAAGATCAGATTTTGCAAAAAATATGAAAATGTATGCTACTCCAAGTGATCATTTCATCAAGCATGGTATTGTGTGCAATTGTGAACATGCATGCAAACGTAATATGTGTTTTTAAGCGTGCTATAATGGCCCTTGGCCTCAGAACACGCCGAATGCAAAATATGACATGTCAAACTTCCAAAGCATAAAAAAGTCATTTAAAAGTAAAACTCGAAACCAACGAGTATAGATGCAATCAAAAGGTTTTTTTGCCTTTAGCCACACGTCATACATATAGAGAGGGTCCCAAATAGTGTGCTTAGGCACGCTTTACATATTCCAAAGTAAAAACAGAATGCTAAAACATAGTTAAGCGTTACAACTTCAAAAGTAAAACAAACATGCTAACATGTGCATGTAAAAAAAAAAAAAAAAACCGCATCAAAAGTACTTCAACACATCAAGCCGACCTAGGGATGTTGTGAATCTCAAAAAAAAGTTTCTTTACCTGAAAATATCCAAAACAACTAGGGTGAGTAAATAAGTTACTCGTAGGAAATGAACATGCGTATAACCTAAAGTTTTAATGATTTTTTAAGTTTATATAAACAGATCCATGTGTTTCATGCCACCTAACGTCTATGTCCAATTGAGACTATAGGATCATCCCTATGCTACCTTAGAACATTATAGCATAAACCACAAGGATAAAATAATTAAACGACGTTGGAGAAACCAACTTATGACAACAAGCTACAACTTCATAATGTTATCAACTTGAATCAATGTACGAAATCAAATAAATGAAACAACAAGTTGCAAGATTTAATGTTATCAACTTGGAATGACATGCGAAATCAAACAAAGTGGATATAATTGAACATCACACCAGAATAGAACTAACGAAAATGGTCACTTTTGGGTTACTAGCCCGTGGGTAACCTCCCAAAGTGCGCATTATAATGTAGGGGGAACTCTTATCTTCCGTACTAGAGCCTTGCTCTAGCCATGTCACAACAACGATGCCCCAAGAATCCAAAATCAACAAATTGTGCAAAATGCATATATATATATATACCAAATGCACTTAGTCATTTACCATGCACAATCAAATATTTAAAAACACACAACATATGCCCTAAGTCCTCAAGCTATAATGGCATGTAATATGTCAATTTCTGAATGTGAATTACTATAAGTTACAACCATGTCATTAATACATAAAGTCTAATTATGTAAGTATACAACAAGTTCTAAATCCATGATTGAACATTAAAACAACACCAAATATATATTTAAATCCATGGAAACAATTACTTAGAATTTAATCTCATTTCACAAGAATATACAATAAGCTTCTAACTCGTGATTTAAACTACAAAACAACATCAAATACACAATTAAATATAGAAATAATTATACATAATTTAATGGAATTCCCACAATTAAATCTCTAGAATTTAAATCATCTCTAAATTGAATACAACTTCTACACAAGGAGTATATCACAACAAGCCTTAAACAACATTAAACCCTAAGTTAATTTCATGCATTTTTCATCTAGATACTACCTTAGATTCAAAAGGAACATGCATATAATTTATATTAATAGTGAGTTTCAATTCTCTAGATTTCAAAACATCTTCAAATGAAACAAGCTTTATAAATATTAAAGATCAAGTCTATGCTTTAAATAATGTCAAGTCTTAACTTGATTTCATGTAAGATACAACTACATACAAACTTAAAATGTAAAGGATACATGCATACAATTCATATTGAACTTCAAAGACACTTAAAACACTAAGATTATAAACATGAAAACACCCCCTTCCTCACTGGAGGATTGTTCCCCTAGAATCTAAGACAAACGAACTCAAAATGGAAAACTGTAAAAAGGTGTTCTATATCAAGAATAGAGGAAGATATATTCTTCAAGGTGGGTGATCAAATTCCTAAGGCAAAGGGTTCAAAATCCAAAAATGGCAAAGAGGGTTCTGTTTGGCTGCAAGGTGGCTAAGGAGAAAACTTTAGGAAATGGAATATTTTCTCTAATTTTTCCACTCACATTAGGGCTTTGGTAGCCAAACACACACACACACGTAAACTACCTCACACACACACAAAGGCAAAACTAAATCTTGGCCCTCCACTTGTCACTAAGCTAGGCCTTTTCACCAAATCAAATCCAAGGCCTACACTTGTCACCATCCTAAGCCTTCTTTTAAGGCTTAATCTAAGCCCTAAACTTGCCCTCATCCTAGGCCAACAAGTGGACCAATCATAGGCCACCAAGTGGGTGCATCCTAACCCTTCACATGTCATCATCTAAGGCTTCCAAGTGTCACCAATGAAATGATGACAAATAGACCAATGGGGGTGTGACACTTGTCACACTTTTCAGAAATTGTAAAAAAGTCCCTCCCCAAAATATCTTCAAAATAATATTGCAAATAGGTCCCTAAGACAAATATCTAAAGAAAATTTAATTACAAAAAACATCACATAAAACAAAAATATTTTCGAAGAAACTATGCTTCCACGCCCCAACGGAAAAAGTAAACAACTAACATGCTTTTTTACAAAAAGTAAAATTACGCATTTCATGGAAATCAAATGTAATGAATGCTCGTGAAGTTGAAAATCAAGTTTGAACAAGAAACAGAACTCAAAAACTCATTCCGGTTCTCAAAAACCCCAAGGTTACGTGAAAAAGAAAAATGCTGGAAAAACAGAGAAGATAACACGGATCTCACGAGGATGACATCAATATCGAAAGAAAAGAGTGTCGAAAACTATTCGCGAGCATTCAAGATGATTCAAAGGGACAAAACCCAAACTTAGAAAAAGGAACTTTAACGAAAAAAGAAAATATGTAAAAATAGGAGGAAAAACCGGTCATTACAGTCTAGATTGAAGCTGCAACAGAATTGTCTTCATCAATGCCGTGGAAGTGATGATTAGTTGGATGGAATTTGAGTCAAGGTGGAGATTGTTGGAATTTGTGTCTCAAATTCCTATTCTAATTATGTTTCTATTCTTAGAGTTGTATTCTGTTTGGTAATTTCTTGTTCGGTAAGTCTTGGCCTCTAAGAAATTGTAATTCTTGTTCAATAAGGAATTGGGTTTAGAATTCTATAAATAGATGCATAGGCTTTGGGTTGAGACTTATGAGATTAAGAGAGACGTAATCTCATAAGGGAGTTGATGGGTAGTGGTATAGTATATGGGTTGGTAGAGTAGGAAAAACATCGGTAACACTAGTTAAGAGGAAATAAGCTTTTAGAGTGGTGGTGTTGGTACTTTATTGTGGTAATATCTGTAACGACCCACTCTACCACATGGTATGATAGCTTGCCAATGTGATAGCCTGACAGTGTCTCTCGCACCCGCCCATAAGGCCATCACAATATCTTTACGAATCATAGTGGAATCTCTTCTTATCCATGGATATAGGCTGATTTTGGCTGAACCATGTATATTTAGTGTTTATGTGTGATTGATTTGTTGGCTTTTGTTGGATCCTCTTTATTCACGCGCTTCTGCTGCCTGCAACACATATAATATATGTATTTTTTCTTTTTCTTTTTTAAAAAATCATCATTTACTTTTTAAATGGTGCAATTCATACTTATTTTTATGTAGCTGGAAGTATGAGACTGGTAACTAGTTCAAAAGGAGTACTTAAGTTTGGCGAAGATTGGTGTAAAGGACCTCTGGATTAGAGGTATTACTTTTGAATTATTCTATTTATACAATTATACAGTTATTTGAAAATTGATAATAATAAAAGATGGATACTTTAATATGTATTACACATTATGCTTCCAGTTTTTGCTTAATTATTAATTTGTATTAATATCACATCAAATTTGTATTTGTTTATAAATTAATGTATAATTGTTTTATTGAAAGTTCTGTAAATTTTGGCTTAAATCTTATTGGTGTTAGGGTAGTTTGATAATAATAATAATAAAAAAAACTTCTTTAAATTGAATTTTTTTTTTTTTTTTTTTTTTTTTTCAAATTTCCAAAATTTTGGCTAGATATATATTTGTATGAATATAATGAATAGTAAATATATATATATATATATATATATATATATATTTTGCTTGAATTAGTCTTCATTGCTTCAAAGTTTGGCTGCCCAACCACAACATCCTGGCTCTGCCCCTACTCTCTCTCACACACACACACACATATATAGAACACTACCTTAATGGGTAATAGTGCCATTGTTAAGAAATAACAACAGATGACTTGCCTTCCTTATCCATTAGAAACTTGATGAAGTTCTATTCGATCCTATGCTTAAAGAATCCACCTTTACTAGCTTTAAGAAATTTGAAGATAGGTGCTGCACATGCCCCATTGATGCGTATCTAACTAAAAGAGAAATTTGATTATTTAATATCAGTAACAATTGAACTTTGGGTCAAATAGCAAAGTGCAATGAAATTTATAAGCAATATTCTTTGAACTCTGCTTCAAATTTGGGAAGTTTGAGATCATAACCGAATAACGTGTCAAATTTAAAGCCATAGACATAGATAGAAGTTCATGCATAAAATGGATGGTAACAAAAATTAAGGGTCTGTAACCACAAAGGCATAGGGAGAGCGAATTTCTTATTTTAGGTAATATATATATATATATATATATATATATATATATATATATATATTTGAACACTTCTAGAAAAACTTTTTTAATTTTTAAGGAAAGAGGAGGGAACAAACTTTACACCTGACATAAGCTCCCTACTCAAGAAATTCATTTATCATGGATTCTAATTATAATTATCACTTTGATATAAGAACAATTATTTAAATCTCTACCCTACCCTCCATCCCCACAGGATCCTTCATAGTTTGTATCACTACTTTGGGGGCTTGCTTCAAACCGAACAAGTTTTCATTCACCTTGCACATTAGTTTCTCCTTTATTTTGACTAAGAAATCCTTCGGTTGTTGCATGTAAATTTCCTCCTCTAGGTCACCACAGAGGAAAGCAGTTTTGACATCAAACTGCTCAAGGTGCAACCTCTCTGCTACAACAATGTTAAGAAATGAACGAATGGTACGCAGTTTCATAACCGAGGAAAAGATATATGTGTAGTCAATCCCTTTATTCTACCGAAAGCCTTTGACCACTAACCTTTCCTTGCATCTCTTGGGACCATCACGTTCCTTTTTCACCTTATACACTCATTTGTTATGAAGAACTTTCTTCCCTACTGGTAACTTGGCTAGTTCGCATGTCTTATTTGAGATAAGAGACTTTATTTCATCTTCCAGTGCAAGCTGCCACTTGCTTGCATCTTTAACCTGACATGCCTCTTTGTAACATTTAGGCTCACCACCATCTATGAGCAATATATATTCATATACCTCTGATTCGGTACACGAGGATGCGTAGACCTCCTGGATGCAGGTGTAGGAATTAGATTATGCAGTGCACTATACTCTATAAGTTCTGGCTATAAACCCTCAACTATCTGCTCCGCAACAACACTCTCTGGACTCTCATGCAACTCAACATACTTATGCTTCCTTTGTATAAGAGTAGTTGAAAGTGCTACATCCCTATCCTTATACATCATATTCTCATTGAAAATCACATCTATACTTTTGATGATTTTCTTTTCCTAGTCATCTTAGAGTTGATAACCAAACTCATATTCACCATATGGTCACTAATATGCGCATATGCAATACAACAAAAAAAATTTCAACCATGAAAGATTTACCTCCTTCCTGCTCTACACCTCAGTCGGTATCCGATGCTCCAAAGGCACCGGCGGTCAATGATTAATCAGGTAGGCTTTTATATTGGTTGTTTCTGCCCAAACTACTTGGGTAGACCCGTATGTATGTGTATGCCCTTGGCTCTCTTCATCATAGTTCAGTTAATCCGTTCTGCTATGGGGTTCTTTGCACAGGTATCTTTAATCTGATCCCATTCTCAAAACAGAACTTCATGAACCTGGTGTCTTCATATTCACCACTATTATCTGACTTTAACCTCTTAATCTTTAAACCCGTTTCATTCTATACCATGGCCTTCTATTTCTTTAACACCTTAAATACCTCTAATTTGTGATTCAAGAAATAAACCTATACCTTCTTCATGTGATCATCAATGAAAGTCATAAAGTAGGATTTTTCACCAATAGATGAGATTGGGGCTACCCCTAGACATCTGTGTAAACTAGCTCAAGCTTCTCCTTTCTGAGATCTTTACCACTCTTCTTGAAACTAACCTTCTTCTGCTTACCCATCACGTAACTCTCACAGAAGTCAATATAAATCACTCATATGCTTGGTAGTTTCTTTTTCGAGTGCATAATCTTGAGTCCCCTTTTAGTCACGTAACTTAGCCTCTAGTGCATTGTGATCTTCTTTATTTTCTGCAAGTACTCTTGACCCACAAGCACTGGTAGTTGTGTAGAAATTGTCAGTTTTCTTTCCATGTGCAATAGCTATAGCACCTTTGGAAACGTTCAACAAGTTTCCATTAAAAGTTTTAACAAAAACTACCTCTGATATCTGTCCCACTAAATCATATTCTTCCTTAAGTCAGGAATGTGCCTAACTTCCTTCAATCTCCATACAGACTCATTTAACTTGATTCGCATTTCACCCTTACCAATGGTGTTATAGGGCTAATCATCACCAAGATATACCTTGTCAAGGTTACTCGGTCCATAGCTATTGAACAACACTTTGCTTTAGGTACCAAGAAATGATGTTCCAGAATCCAATGCCCATGACTCCGCCTACTATCCAAACACCATATCAATGCATCATCTGATTCTTCTGAGACCACGTTTGCTTCAGTTTTATCTTCAGTATTCTTCTTCCTTGGAACAAACTCGTTGAACACATTTAGATGCTCGTTGACTCTTCTACCTTCAATTATCTTCAATTTGAACAACTTCTTGATCATATGTACCTTATTGGCTGCATAAGGCTGTTCAAACACACTAAAAGGGGCTGCCAAGAGAGATATCATCATCTTCTCGTTCTTGATGTTAAAGGCGACTGACTTTGACAACATAAACCTAGCATTGCAAAGAGTCTTCCTATCAAGTAATTCTCAATCTGCATCCTTTGAATCCTCTAGCTTTTCTCCCAAAGTTTGATACATTTTTTTCTAAAATAATAGATCATCTATTTGCATCTCCTAGAAATTGAAGTTTGTGCCATCAAACTTCTCAATTATGGATGTGGATGTCTTATATTCTAATGCCTCTACTCCCACTAAAATGAATAGGTCGAATACAAAAGTCTTCATCGAAATTTTGTCAAACACCTTTTGTGCCCAAGGTTCTTAACCAAACGCTCTTATACCAGTTGCTATGAAAAACAACCAGATGCTCTGATACCAGTTGTTGTGGCGAAAACCCAAAAACAACGATCTCTAAGGAGTAAAAAACACATAAGCATTCAAAGAAGAAAAAAAATAATCACAAGAACACAAGATATACGTGGTTCATCCAAAGCTTAGGGCTACGTCCACGAAGTGCACCGAACAATTCCACTATGAAACGATGAAGGATTACAATAGAGAATTTTCCTCTCAATCTCTCTCATTTGCTCTCTCTTATATAGGCACAAATCAATTCAATCTTATGAAGCTCTCATACCCTAAAATCTTATTTGAGTTCGAATAAGTAGTCTTAATATAAGGAAACTAACTTGCATCACAAGTTTAGCCTTTTTGGAGAGTAAAAAACCATGGAAACTAATTCCCGCCGCTTCCTAGGGATCGGTCCAAAAAAGATGGACCGGTCCATCTTGATGAAATCACCGTTTTGAAACTCACTACCCAAATTGGGCCGGTAAGTAGCAAAAATATACACTAAAATCTACCAATTTGACCGCTCCAAGTTCTCTACAATCTAATCCCAACTAGTGATCAAACTCCACAAGCCTCAATAATAACCTGATAGGTTTGATATTGCAATTTGAAGGGCATTTAAGAAAATTAAACTATCACCACAGTATGCCACCAATCAATGCCAAAGCTACCCAAATGTCAAGCAATTCAAATAATGTAGCACTTCTAGATTAATAAAAATAAATATAAAAAGGATACACCAACATAAGGCTTTTAACTGAAGTTACCAATCTAGAAAGCACAGATACAAATACGGGATATAGATAAGACATGACACAGGTACAACAATACAAAAAATCTCACAAAAAATAAGATATGGGTACGCCATAATGCAACAATAAAAAAATGATATTTTATATATATAAATAATTAATTTTTAAAAATATTATGAATCAAAATGCAATCATTAATTTAACATAGGAGTTCATTTCACAACACATAAACAAGCATCCATGATCATCACTTAATAAATATTAAACTTTTCTTAACAACCATACTATGTTATTATTGTTGGAAAAGTTGTATTTTAATATTAAAAAGTTGTTAAAAAAGTGTTATGAAATATCGGAGAAGTATCGGATACGTAGTCAAATATCTGAGAAGTATCAGATACGCATTTGAAATTAAACTACATATTTTTAAATTATAGATAAGTTTAAGAAGTATTAGTTAGACATATGCAAGTATCCAATGATTATCGATATCTGACATGTATCCGATTTGAGTAGGTCGCTCTCGTAGAAGTATCCATACTTCCTAGTTTCTAAGTAGTTCTCAATTAACGAATATCTGCAATGATTGTGTTCATATTAAAGAACCCTTTATTGGAACACACTACACTTATCAAGGGTGAATCCAAGGAGAAAATCATTACCCAAGAACCCAATTTCTACCATAACCAGCAATAGGTGCCATCAGCCACAGTTTCTAAATTATGATTCCCACTGCAAGTGATACAGGGAGGCACTACCTTATAACCTTTCCAAAATTTCACCAGCTTAGAGTAACCATTGCATAATAAAACAAGATTATATGAAAGTTGCATTAGTAAAACCACCTCTAGAATTTTAGTGAATTTATCAGTCAATTTAAGATTAGTAAGAGAAAAATAAGATGATGAAAAATACCATTTGGAAGCAAAATTGACGGCAGGTCCACTTTCCCAGTGCTATCCTGGACACACCACATAAATCCCAAATATTTTAGCAAGAAAACTATATATATATATATATATATGTAAGACTGGTTTCAAAATTGGTGTTTGATTTGAATGTCCAAATGGCTAATAAAATAATACTAGATGTAAATTGCTTTTAAAATTGATGATAGGAGATTCAATTTTGTTTTATATAAATGAAGGGAACATTTTATAAATTAACAACTAAGGAATTAGGCCAAATCTCAAATATGAGTTTGAAATAGATAATAACTTTTGAAATTTTAATAAAGAACTAATCCTTTTTAAATTAAGTGATTTGGAAAAATATACATATATTTTAAAAATCTCCAATGAGCAATACTTTTTTTTTTTTTTTTAATATGATTTTTGTTTATTTTTCTTGTCTGACCACTGCTTTACCTGTATACCCTTTCTCTCCCTGTTGTGCACGTGGGGGAGAGAGACATTGGCGTGTCCCTTCTTCTTTGTTTTCATCATCTTCATCTTCATTTCCATCTTCATCATCTTCATATTGCACATCCATTACTGGATGAACACCCCACTTTTTCACCGTCAATGGTCGTCCATCGGAATAGGATCCACTAATTGAAGCCTCAATGTAACAATACCCATCAGAATTGCACTTCCATCCTATATTGGGTTCATGAAAAAACATGATCATATCTGAACTGATTCTGTTGATCCAATCCCCTATATCATAACGATTTCTAGAATCACCATTGATAGAGAGAGTAACCGCCTTCTTCTTCTCTTCATCGTCACTGAATGGTTCTGGTTTGTGATCTTGATTAATTCCGATAACGGCGCAAACAGAAACTCCTTTGAGATAGGGAAAAGAATTTGGATCTATATTCAACCGCACATCAGTGAACTCCTCACCACTCTGACGTCTCTCATATATATGGGAGAACCAACTTGGAATCTCACTTCCTGATAAAACAATTTCATGGACATTTTGCTGCACCAAAAAGCATGACAATGTTAATTTTGAAAAAGTGGGGTATGAACATTGAAAGAGAGAGAGAGAGATACGCCTACCTTAAAAGTTTCAATTTCTGAATAGTTGTATATATTTGGCTTCTTGTTCTTGTGATTCTCAACTAATTTATGGCTCTCTGTGAAAATACATCCATCACTTGTTTGAATGGAATAGCGTTCTAGTGATACGCAACCTTGTGCCAAAACTTCTGATGTAAATGATGGAAGTGACAATGTTTGGAGGCTTGAGCAACCACGCAAAGAAAGACACCGTATAGATGATGGAAGTGACTCCAGTGTTTGGAGCCTCAAGCAATTGTTCAAACCAAGTTGATAAAGGCTTGTAAGTTGAGAGAAGCTTGCGGGTAAGCTAACAAAGTCATTCCCGTTTAAATTTAATTTCCACAACGAGTGAGGAAGATTGAGAATGGATTCTTCATCTAAATTGCAGTAACTCCATTCTAATTGGAGAACATTCAACTGTTGGATGGATGGTGGTAACTTTTTTACACCACTAAAGCTCAGCCAAAGTATCCTTAAACTCTTCATTCCACCAATATTGCTTGGCAAACTTCCAAGCATTTTGCAGTTATACAAATCTAACTTCACAAGGCTTCCAAGTTGTTCGATTGATGGAGGTAAATCTTTTATAGCACTTCCCTTCAGTTGAAGTACCTCCAAACTCTTCATTTTGTCAACAATGTTCGGTAAACTTCCAATCATTCTGCAGGATCTCAGAGTTAAACATTTAAGCCTTTTAAGATCTCCAATGCTTGGAGGTAATTCTTTTAATGCATTCCCATCCAGCATAAGTATCTCTAAACATTCCATATCTCCTTGGATCTCTGGAAACTTCTCAAGTTTTGTGCATCCATCGATATTAAGCGATTGAAGAGATTTCAAATTAATTCTTGTTGCAAGAATCTTCAAATTTTTACAATTGTCGAATCTCAACCGAACAAGCCTCTCGTGAAATTCAATGGATGGATGAACTTCAACCAAACTTCTACAACCATGAAGATACAATTTCTCCAGACATGGCAACCCGGACAAATTAGGAGTTCTCTTCAAATTTTTACAGTAGCTGAGATCGAGGATTTTTAACTTATCTTGAAACTGCTAAATCAAACCATAAAAATAATTATTCAACGGGAGGGGGAAATGTAAGTAAAGTAACAGTCTCACCGGCCATTAACTTCTAATCTCATTAGAAAACAGAGATAAAACAGAAGACAACTAGATATAATTTCAAGCCAAAGAGAGAGTTGCTGAAACTATCCATCACTAGATCAATACCATTTGTTCAATTAGTTTATTTCAATTTGCATTCATTCCGGTTTGGTTAAATGAAAACTATGAGAGGAAAATAAAATTAAAAGAAAAGTTTAGAATACATGAAACTTACAAGAAAATAAAAAACAATATTGTAACAACATAAAATTTTCTCAAGAAATGAAATTATTTCCATTTTTTTGTATGAAAAATATTATGGAAAGTCGGGTGAATATGAAAACAAAAAATCAAAATTTCCTTTTCCTCAAAATTTCCTTTTCTTGCTATCCAAATTTCACCTCTTTGTCTATTTACCATTTGACCCCAAACATAGGTAGTAAGCAAGAAATTCATTTTTGTTTTTTACATGCTAAATTATAGGGATGACAGTCACTCATCTTAACTGTTTCAGAAGAAACTGAAAACGCTAACCCTGAAACAAACTTAACTGAACCAATCTTTGTACAAAAACTATTTGCATTGGCGAGTTTCACTAATTGAGCTTACCCTAAAATAAAATCCAAAAACAATAGGTTAACTATAATCAAGCCTTATATAAACATAATTTCTATGATATAAATAAAATATTTCTCTATTTTCCATTTGATATTGCGTTCCTAGTTTCTAATCTAACAGGTAGTATGAAGAAGAACATACGTAATTCAATGTAGTGTAAGCATATGATAACAAAAGTTATCAAATTAAAATAAATATACACACACATATATATAAATATATATAAGTATTAAGGTTCAATAGAATTGGTTCATTTTATTTATTTATTTTTATTTATTTTTTGACATCTAAATGAGTTTTGGAACTAGGAGTGAACTGTTGATCAATGAAATTGAATCACACTCATACAAAGAACAGTCTTAATAAATTGACATAGTATCTGATCTATAGCCTACAGGTTTCTAATCTAAATCTATCGTGCCATTTGAATTTGTCAATTAATTTGGTGTTTATTTTTTATTCTAACAGATGATAGTGTTTAAAAAATGTTACTCTGATGAACCTAAAGCTCATGTATTTAATAATAATATTAATGATAACTATTATTAATATTTTTATTTGCATGGATATTCTTTCAAATGTGACCATTAATCTGGAGATGTTCTTGAAAAAAATTTCATGGTGACCTGCTTCGGCATGTTACCGAATTGCTGACAAGGAAAAACCACCAAACAAAATTTTAATATTTGATGTGTTGTTTACTATTTTGTCATAGATAATGTATAATCTAATCTCAACTACCCATGAGTTTCCCTTTTCTGGATTGATGGTTCAAATCATCAAGAAAGGTTAAGGGACATGGGTTTGGTTCACGGGCCTGCCGACATGAGAACTCAAAAAAATTTGGGATTTTAATTTCAAAATTTTGTAATTTATATATCCCTCCAAAAATTTGTAATATATATTTGACTTTTAACTAATCTGGAAGCTTTTGAACCAAATAACTTATAATATAGATTGTCTTCAATCCACTTGACAAAATAATCTTTGTTAAAAAAAAAAAAAAAATTGATAGAATAATTCACGAAGAGAAGCATAGTGCACTTAAAGTAATAACATTACCTTCGTGTCATCAAATTCAACCTCAACCAAACTTGCACATCCAATAAGATTCAATTTCTCTAGAAATGGGAACCCTGAAAAATTAGGATTTTTCACCGCCAGATTTTTGCAGAAACTGAGATCAATGACTTTTAAAATCCTTAGAATCTGTTAAAAAAATAATAATAAAATAAGTTAGCTTCAATTGACTAGATAAAATTATTTTTTTTTCGAAATACTAAATTTTAATAGAATGGAAAACAGCATGTACATGTAAAATAATAATCTTACTTTTCTATCCGTCCAAATCCCTTTGATCAAGCTATTACGTAAATGGAGTTGAACAAGTTTTTTTGCATGAAAATTGTACGGCAAATATTCTTCGGGATAGCCATTCCAATCAAGATACCTTAACTCATTTGAAAGATATGTGAGGGATCCGTGAAGCTGCACATCACTGATTTTGAGTATTCTTAACTTTCTCATCTTTGTGAATGCCTCACCACTTACATCCAACCCTTCCTTGGTTACCATAATGGCTTCGATATTTTCTGTTACCTATCAACCAATAACATGGAGTACGTAAGTGCCTCAATAAAATAAAAACTTAACTAAAATTATACGACTTCAAATCAGCTTATATGTACAAGGCGTACAAGTGCATAGCTTGCACATGGAAAGAAATTAATATGTGACAACGCATACCATCATACCGTATTTTCAGTAAATACTTCATCGATGTCTTCATGAGACCACAATCTGCTGCGCTTTCCAGGATCTTCAGATTCTTGGCGAACAATTTCTCGACCCATTTCTTGTATCAAATCATGCATCTGGAGCTCGTTATTTTTTGATATAGTGATGAGGGACCTCTCAACGAGAACTTTTATTCCAATGACGGGGTGAAATCCGCAACTCTCAAAAAACTCCATTGCAAATTTTTCTTTATATCCTTTGAAGCAACAGGCAATGTCGAGGAATATAGCCTTCTCTTTTTTATCAAGGCTATCATAACTTATCTTGAGAACATCTTGAATTTCTTTGGGAGGGTTGCTTTTCAATTTATTCAATCCACTTACCCACTCAAAAATGCTTCTTTCACATAAAAAAGATCCCAAAACTTGAAGAGCTAATGGAAGACCTTTGGCGTAATCTTTTACAGAGTGTGAGAGTTCGCGATACTTTTTTACAGGACCGTTTTGCTTGAATGCATGCCAACTGAAAAGTTCGAGTGCTTCTTCATCATCTAACAGCTCAACCTTGTATGTTTTAACAATATTGTACTTCATTAACAACCTTTCATCCCTAGTTGTTATGATGATCCTACTTCCCGAACCAAACCAATTATGTCTTATTCCAGCTAAACTCGTTAATTGTATCTCATCATCTACATCATCAAGAACTAGAAGAATCTTTTTGTGCTTAAGTCTATCCTTTATTTCATTGATTCCCCTGTCAGAGTTCGATATCTTTAAATAATTATCCATTAGAGTCTCTCTGAGAAGTTTTTGTTGTAGTTTGGCTAGACCATCTTGCTTTTTTGACTCTTCCCTCACATTTTTAAGAAAACAATTGCTTTCAAATTCATTTGATATTTTGTTGAAAACTGCTTTGGCAACAGTTGTTTTACCTATTCCTCCAATGCCACAAATCCCAACAAAGAGTTTATCCTTTGACCTATCATTCAGCAACGTGATTACTTTGTTTGCTCGAGAATTAATACCCACTTCGTACTCAGCAACTTTAAATGGTATAGGTTGCAATTTTGTTGAAATTACTTGAACAATTTGTTGGATAAACTTTTCCTCATACCTATCAAGTATTAAATTAAGCACATTAAAATCTAAATTCAGTAAGAGTGCACGAGAAAAATTAATAAATAAACAAACAAACAAACAGAGAAATATAGAGCAATATATAAAGGTTGAAATAAGTATTTATTCATATAACTAATATATAGGTGTGTGTGTGTGTCTATATATATATATATATATATATATATATATATAAATAAAATTGAAAAAATAATTTCTAACAACCTATTTGCCAAAAATAGAATGGCAATTTATAAATTTAAATAGGGTGAATTACCTAACCTCCCCTTAGGTTTGTCATGCCCCGAATCCTAGTGACTCGGTGCATGAATGGAGAACCACAAACCCAACCTAAAATTTGAGTCCAAATGCGGAAGTAAAGACCCACATTAAAAAAAAAAAAAAAATACATATCTTACTTAAGGAAAATCATGACCTATCCTCACTAAAATGGGCATAACTCTCTCCAAAAATGGAGTCTATGAGTGAGGTTGGTACCAATAGAAAGCTTACTTCGATCCGGTCAATTTGAACATAAGAATGACCTAATTTGGATTAAAGACGAGGACTTTATAGCCGATTGAAGTTAGCACTACAGTGCTGAGTGGTCCAGTACAAGAGCGATCGATCTTATGAATAGTGCAATCAATCTCATGAAACACAAATTTCTATTTCATGGCTCTAAAAAGGTGCGATGGATTGAAAAAAGGACTACGATCGATTATTGGGTGTCCAGATGCACCAAAAAGTCCTGATTTGGGTGGTTAAGGCTTTGGGCACCTCGTTGGTACCAAATATGATTATGAAGTAAGCCTAAAGTGTGCAATAAATGATGGGGAACATACATTGACATTAAAATGGCCTTATGACTTCATTACATCACTTATCACATGAATAATCAAATTTACATCAAATTGCCTTACAAACCTTGAATAGATTACATATGATTCGTATTCAATCATGTGTCCACAATTATCATGACTTTTACATTATCCGATTACATGTATCAAATGATACAAGTCCAAAAACAAAAATAACTCAAATGCTACACAGAATTTACTAAAATATGTCCACAAGCACCCAATGCCTCCTCCAAAGCAAACAAATGAAGAAATCCTCAAAGGTAATGTCTTTATCCTTAAAGGGGGAACAACGTGGGGTGAGTTACATTGCTTAGTAGGAAACATGCTAGGTACGTATATAAACTATATTCCTTTGGGCCTAATAAGAGTAGCTCATGTCATATGATGCGAAGGGACATGCTCTCTAACGTCTAGTTCAGGGGTAGTCTTAAAAGCATCATCCAAAACCAACCATTAACATAGATAATCCCATTTTATCTCAAGTAAACATGTACACTGAAAATGAGATATAAACCACTCGATAAGTGCTGAAAGATGCACATTTTAGCCTTTATTCTTACATATGTTAGCACTTTATTTTTATCTTTGTTCATTTTTGTAGTTTTAATTTGCTTTATTGTCGATTTCAGGTTCTTATGGCTTAAATGGGCTAAATTCAATACCTTAAATCTCTTGGGAAGCTTCAATGAAGTATTGGCAAAGAAAGAAAGTAAAAAAGAGCTGAAGTGTGGAAATCAGAGGCACGTGATTGATCGTGAGTAGAGTGTGATCGGTCGCGTCTTAAACGCGATCGGTCGCATTCATGGGACATGACTCTCAAATTCAGATCTGACACTTTCCTTAAACCAAGTTCATGGTATACCCAATTGACGAGCCTTGTGTACGATTTATGATGATTTGGTAAACCATGAGTCATGTATAAATAGAAGAATCAAGACATTTTGAAAGGGATTTGGATTTTAGATCAAGGCTTGAGCTCTCTCTACACTTTCTCTCTCTAGATTTGCTATTGAAAATTAGAGAAGAAGCTTTGCCTATGCTGGGAGATGAAGATTAAAGTTGTAAATATGATCCTTAACATCTCCATGGCTAACTAGTTTCCTTCTTAGGGTTTAGATGAAGCCCTAAGCCTTGAAATTGTATTGTTGTCTTTCAATTTGGAGATTTTTATATTCGTGTATAAATTGTGTAACATAAAGGATTAAACATGGTTGTACCAAGTTTTATTGTGTTTAAATGCTTGAATTAATCTTTTTCTAATCTATATGTTGTCTTATGTATTAATTGTTGATGGTTAATCTCTACATCTCCACTTCTTGTTGTTATGTAGATAATGGTTACACAATGGTGCTAATTGGATAAAATTGCTTACAACTTGATGATTTATGCTTAGTTTTGGTGAATTATACTACAAATGTTAGACTAGATGTAGGTAAGTAGACAATTCATGCTTAGCTTTAATAATTCATGATTGTTGATGTTAATTGTTGCATTATCTTTATCTCAATTGTGTGCTCTTAGCCACAATCTTTGTATGCAAAATTTATCTCCCAAATTTGATTGCAATGATATAATCGCAAGGCTTAAAGGTGGATTCCATGCCCTAAGTCTCTCTCTCTTATCTTATCTTGTTCATTATAAATCCACTTATTTGCATTTTAGATAGATTTATTTCTAGTTGTTAATTTGGAACAATCCAAACTATCTTTTTTGTCATTTGATCATTAATTTTGAAATTAGATCAAGTATATAGTCCTTATGTTCAACCCCCTAATTCAATATCCTACGTAGTAATGGTTAAATAAATTTAAAATTGAAGTTTCGACAACCAACCATCATTTTTTTGTGCTGTTACCGGGGACTACGGTTCAATTATTCAATTTAAGATTAGTGATCATTTGTTTGTTAGTTTAGGTCTTTATGTATATCATATGCTTATTGCTTATTTTTGTGCAATTGTAGGTATTTGATTAAGGGAAGAAGGGACCATTGTTTTGTTTTGGACCTTTGTAACCGTATCTCAAAATCTTGAACTTCTAATTGTGCACTTTATAATTTAGTTTTATTTATATTTTGGATAATCCTTGTCGAGGCTATTATTGCTTGTATTTTACTTTATTCAAGCATAGGCCCTTGTCAAGGCCATTTCTTTTATCTTTTGTCTTTATTGATTTGAGGAGGATGGGGACATCGTATGTGGTTGAATATTGGTTGTTGTAATGTTATTGATGTTGTTATTTCTTTGATGTGCTCTATGGTGTATGTTTGATAGGCGATCCTTACATAATTATCTTGTCCCTTTTGACCTTGAAATTGAATCTACTCTTAGGGAAATTAGAAGAAGTGTGTTAGGAAACCTCCCCTTAAACAATCACTATATCATTCTAATGGCAGATAACAATATTCCACAACATCATCACCAACCTCAACCTCAACCATATCCCTTGCCTAATCCTCCACCCAGGGCTCTTAAAGAATACTACACTCCAAATGCATATAATGCTCCCACATGCTACCTAATGCCTAATGTTCAAGCCAATTATTATGATATTAAGCCCAAAATCATCCAAATATTGCCCTCTTTGATGGTAACCAAAATGAAAACCCTTATCGACATTTGGATGAATTCTTAGAAGTATGGTCAACCGTCAAAATCACCGGTTTCCTAGATGAAGTTTTAAAAAAGAAACTTTTCCCTTTCTCGCTAAAAGATAGAGCCAAGCATTGTTTCAATACTTTAAGGGCAAATACCATCACTTCTTGGGCTCACATGCAACAAGATTTCCTTAAAAATACTTCCCCGTAGGTAAGACCAACTATATTCGGACAGCCATAATGAATTTCTCTCAAAATGAAGTTGAACAATTATATGAGGCGATAGAGAGACTCAATGATCTACTTAGGAAATGCCCTCTCCATGAAGTCCCAAAATGGCAACTTATCCAATGTTTTTTTGAAAGTCTATCCGATTCTTACCAAAAAATGGTGGATGCCTTATGTGGACTTACAAAATGAGGATGAAACATGGACTTTATTTGAAAACTTGAGTGAAAATTCTATGTATCGTGCTTTATACAATCAATTGGGCAGGGTTCCAATGGTAGGTGGAAAAAGAAGTTAAAAATCTCTTTAAAATTGACAATTCTTCGGAGGTAACCGCTAGGGTCAAAACCCTAACTAAACGATTTGATCAATTTTTGCTAGAAAACCCTCCGGCACCTTAAATACTTTTTACCTTTCCAATTCAAAATAAAATTTGCATGAATTTTTCTAATCCTTATCATGGTACTCGGGTTGCAGGACAAATCTCTAATGAATCTCAAGAGTAAGCCAATGTTCTTGTCTCTCACCCTGGAAACAATCATTTTCTCCAACACTTGTAATCCCGGGTGGAAAAATCATCCAAACATCTCATGCCGAAATCAAGGCTAGAGTAATCATTCTTTCACTCAAGGGAAACATATCCTCCATCATCAAGCATTCAATCAAACCCCTCATTCCTCACCATATCACACCCCATATCATCAATCTTCTTATTCTCATCAAAATGTTAGTCATTCTTCTAGTTCATATCATCAACCATATCAAGCTTTCAATCTCATTTTCATTCTTCTCAAGCTCCTCCAAAGAATTCCGCTTTTAAGGACAAGGTGTTGGCCGCTTTGGGAAATCCCAAAGCGATCACACAATTACTTTATTCCCATTCCCAATCCATTTCCAAGCTTGATTCCCAAATCGGGCAATTTGCTAATGCACTTAGTTCAAGGGAAAAAAGGGAAACTTCTAAGTCAACCCGAGATAAACCCAAAAGCTCATTACGTGGTTAAGATAAATTCCTCATCGGGACCTTCTCACCATGAATAAGTCCAAGCCATCACAACCTTAAGGACTGGGAGAGTTTTCGACAATAAGATCCGTGAGATACCAAGTGAGGAGATTGACTAGGTATAGGGATGGCATTTGCCCCGTGGGGGCAGGGTCTCATCTCGCCTCTCCCTGTTTAAACCGGTTTTGGGGAACTGTTTAAGGGATTTGGGCGGGGACGGATTATATGCGAAAAAACCAACATAGGTTTGGTTCGAAACTTGGGGAGGGTCACCCACCCTACCCTGCCCTGCTCGTTAAGGATACTAATTAAGTAATTATATTAATTTTATATATATATA